CTTGAAAAGGAAACTACAGACAAATATCCCTTGTGAATATTGATGCAAAAATCCTCAACAAAATACTAGTGAAAAGAGTTCAGCACATATTAACAGAATTAAACACCATGACTAAGTAGGATTTATTAAACAAACGCAAGGATGGTTCAACATGCAAAGTCAATTGGTGTAATACGCCACATCAACAAAATGTAGGGGAAAAGCCCAACAAGTTTACTATTTACGACATCTCAGTTGATGGAGAAAAGCATTTGACAAAATCCAACATGCTTTCATGATAAAAATACTCAAAAGACTATGAGTAGAAGGAATATCTCAACATAATAAAAGTCATCTACAAACAAGCCACAGCAAACGTCGTACTCGGTGTGAGACTGAGAGATTTTCCTCTAAGATCAAGAATAAGATAGGGATGCCCACGTCACCACTCCCATCGAGTGTAGTACAGCCAGAACAGTTAGGGGAGAAGAAGAAAAAAAAGGTATCCAAATTGGACAGGAAGAAGTAAGATGGTCTCTGTTTGCAGATGAAATGGTCTTATATGTAAAAAACCCTAAAGATTTCACACAAATACCTGTTAGAACAAATAAATTTATGGGGCACCTGGGTGGCTCAGTTGTTAAGCGTCTGCCTTCGGCTCGGGTCCTGATCGCAGGGTCCTGGGATCGAGCCCCGCATCGGGCTCCCTGCTGGGCGGGAAGCCTGCTTCTCCCTCTCCCACTCCCCCTGCTTGTGTTCCCTCTCTCACTGTGTCTCTCTCTGTCAAATAAATAAAATCTTTGAAAGAAAAAAAAACCAAATAAATTTATTTAGCAAAGTTGCAAAGTCAACACACAAAAACCAGTTGCATTTCTATACAAGAACAATGAAAAAACTGATAAGGAAATTGAGGAAAAAATTCCATTTGCAATAGCACCAAAATGAATAAAATACTTAGGAATTAACTGCACCAAGGAAGTGAAAGATCTATACACTGAAAATGAGAAAACATTGCTGAAAGAAATTAAAGGAGATGTAACTGGAACAGAACACCATGTTCATGGACAGGTTGGAATAGTTGATATTGTTATTATCCAAAGTGAGCTACTGATTTAATGCAATCTCTATCAAAATCCTAATGTCATTGTTTGCAGAAATGGAAAAATCTATCCTAAAATTCGTATTGGAATCTTAAGGGACCTCAAAGAGTAAAAAAAACAACAACAAATTCTTGAGAAAAGAACAAAGTTGGAAGGCATCACATTTCCTGACTTCAAAACTTACCACAAAATAAAAGTAATCAGGGGCTCAGTCAGTTAAGCATCTGACTCTTGATTTTGGCTCAGATCATGATCTCAGGGTCTTGAGATCAAGCCCTGCATCGGGCTCTGTCCTGGGTGTGGAGTCTGCTTTAGATTCTCTCCCTCTGCCCCTCCCCCTGTTCTCTCCCTCTCTAGAAAAAATACAGCAATGAAGACAATGGTGCATAAGACGGTGTTAGGGACCAATGGGATGGCACAGAATAAGCAGCCTCTAAGCAAACCCTTGCATATATGGTTAAATGACCTTTGACAAGCGTGCCAAGACTGTTCAATGGAGAGAGGACAGTCTTTTCATGAAATGTTTGGAAAAGTGGATATCCATTTTGTGAAATAATGAAGTTGGACCCTTACTAACACCATATACAAAAATTAACTCAAACTGGATCATAGATTGTAGGAGCGCCCGGCTGGCTCAGTTGGTGGAGCACGTAACTCTCAGTGTCAGGATCGTGAGTTCAAGCCCCACATTAGGCATGGGTCCTACTTACAAAAAATAAGAGATAAAACTATAAACTCTTAGAAGAAACCAGGGCAAAAACTTCGGGCCAGGGGATTTGTCGGTGAGTCATTGGCTATGACATCAAAGACACAGCAAATCAGCAAATTTGATGTCGTGAAAGTTCTAAAACTTTGTGCATCCAAGGTCACTGTCAACAGCATAAAAAGGCAACCTACAGGAGAAAACATTTGCAAGCCACATACCTGATAAAGGATCAATATCCAGATTTTATAGACAACACCTAAATGCACCAGCAAGAAACAATCGAACAAAACACCCACTCTGATTACAAAATGGACAAGGATCTTGAATAGACATTTCTCCAGGGAAGATGTATGAATGGCCAGTGAGCACATGAAAGACGCTCAACATCGCTGATCATCAGGGAACTGCAGATGAGAACATTAGGATGGCACCACCGAAACAGCAGCAAGGCGCCTGTGGAAGGTGGGAAAGGTGGGGGTGGGAAAGGGTGCAGCCACTGTGGGACACGGTATGCTGGCTCCCCAAAAAGCTAAAAACAGAGTTGCCAATTGACCTGGCAATCCCACGGCTAGATACATACCCCAGAGATCTGCAGCAGGGTCTGGAAGGCAAGCTGCACACCCATGGTTGTGACATTATTCACAGTAGTGAAACAGTGGAAGCGCCCAGGCGTCCATCAGCACCACGTGGTCTGTCCACGCCACGGACTAGCATTCAGCCTTAGGAAAGGGATTTCTTTTTTTTCTTTTTAAAGATTTTATTTATTTGACAGAGAGAGAGACACAGCGAGAGAGGGAACACAAGCAGGGGGAGTGGGAGAGGGAGAAGCAGGCTTCCCGCGGAGCAGGGAGCCCAATGCGGGGCTCGATCCCAGGATTCTGGGATCATGACCTGAGCCGAGGGCAGACGCTTAACCGACTGAGCCACCCAGGCACCCCAGGAAAGGAATTTCTGATGCCCGCTCCAGCAGGGATGAAGCGTGAGGACCTTCTGTTCGGTGCAATAAGCCGGTCCCAAGAAAGACAAGGACGATTTTGGCAAATATGCTCCACTAACACAAGAGGTTAGTACTGGGGGCTGTGGGCACATGACGGAGTGTATGGGAACTCCTGTAAACAGAAGACTGCTCCAAAAAAAAATGACACTTATTTAAAAAAAAAAAGTCTTCACACTGTCCAGAACCAGATCACGGGGCCACTGGCAGCTGCAAAGGAGGCTGGGAGGGCAAAGAAGCATCTCTTGCCGGCACTGTGGACACAGGCCTTCGGCAAGTAGCATCAGAGTTCCAGACCCGAAATCTCACCCTGCAGTCTGGCGCCCAGGGAGTCCCCACAGCGCACCCGGGCTGGTCAGACGCAGACCCAGCCAGGTGTCGTGCCCAGGCCGCCTCTAGCTGAGCGCCACAGCCTGACCCCTACCTCTCAGCCCAGACTTCGGACTCTCCGAAGGCCCCCCCCCCCAGGAGGGGGCAGGGCTTGCCTGGGGCAGACTGCCTAGCATCCGCCAACCTGGACCCCAGCAGGCTTCTCTGCCCGCCGTCTCCTGAGCTGGGAGACTGGCTCCCGTTCACTCCTCTCTGGGCCGGAGCGGGCATACCCCATGTCCCTCGTCACGAAGGAAAAGGGAAACTGAGGCCTCCAGTCTGACAACAGAGACCGCGCACCGTGAAGGCGAGGCTGCTGACTGGGGCGCTTGGGGATTGCTGGTGTCAGCGGAAAGCATTTCAGTTCCGGGCGTCAATCGTCTGAGCCCTTCCCCCGACACTGTGAGCTGCGCACTTAGGGCATAAGCCTGGCGCCCATTGGCACGCTGGTCTCCTCTCTAGGATCTTGGGTCTGAATCAATGCAAGATCGAGGAACTACAGTTGGGCACAAAGTCACAAACCCAAAACTAAGGCATCATAATGACTTACTGGCACCAACTGGCCTCTGGCTCCAGGAGCTGGATCTGTTGCTCTGCAGGGCACGGCCCGGCGGGAAGCACACAGACTGTGGGGAGCACGTCCATCTTCTGCTCGGGGTCCAGCTGCTGCTTCAGCTTGGCTGAGTTTCCGCTAAGACCCCGGAGACCACACAGGCTTCTTTCCATCCCCTGGCTCATCCCCGCCCCCGCGCTGGGGCCATCTGGGATCACCTGTGATAAACTATGTGCAGTGAAATCCCCATCTCAGGCTCTGCTTCAGGGGGAAGATCCTGGAGCGGGGACGGAAACCCTGAGTGGGGGCTGGAGTCTCCGCATGGGCCAGCCAGGTGTATGGGGGCAGGGCCCAGAGGGGACCGGATGGTGACACACAGGCAGCCCTGGGCCCTTGACTCTTCTCCCCACCCGCGGCTGACTCAGAGCTGACTCAGGGTGGGCCTGAGTCCCCCTCGGCTTCTGTCTTCCCTGGCACGTCTGGGGTGGCTCTTCTGAGTCCGGCCAGGGTCCATGAGACACAGGATCTGAGAGATAGCAGTTGCCTTGGGTAGGCGGCCACACAGAAGGTGCTCCCCGCAGGCTCCCTTATCAGCTCAGCCTTGGCGTGGGGGCCAAGGTCTGGTCCATCTGGTGATAGGGAGAGCCCAAGGGAGGGAGCAGAAGGCGAGTACCATGCACCTGCGCTGTTTGTGTGGGGCTCCCAGTTTCACTGCCCCTGCAGGGTTGGCGGGGACAGGCCTGGCCTGGGACAGGAGGGAGGGGGACAGGGTGGGAGAGCCGGGCGGGCAGAGGAGGCCCTGGCTCTCGCCTCTGGGGTCTCTGGGCACTGTCAGGCCTCGGGGGGCTGAGCTTCCCCCCCACCCAGAGGAGGAGATTTGTCAGTGGTCACTCCACCCCTAACTGTCCCCTGTGTTATCAGGTTGTTAGTATTAATTAACAACTGTTGCTAAGGTTGACAGTGCAAGGGTGTGTCCCAAGCACAGGTGGCGAGGTCTCAAGAGAGGGCTGGGCGGAGAGGGGGTCTGAGGCTGGGCGGGGTGAGGGTGGGCAGGGTGGGGGCGGGGGTTCGGAGGGCCAGCTCTTGCTTTGGGAAGTGGGCCAAGGGGAGACCCCAGCACCTCACCAGGAGGCTCATCGAGAGAGTGGGACAAAGGCAGGAGGGCAGGAGAAGGTGGATCATTAACTAGCTGGGAGCCCTGGGAGGTGTGAGGCTCAGCCCCATTGGTCCCAGCCGAGTCAGGCCAGGCTGTCCGTAACAGGGAGGCTGCCTAGCTGTGCACCCCCAGTTTCAGTGCATGAGCCACCCAGACAAGCACGGTGTGTCTCCAGGAGCCAGCCCTTGGCTGTCCCCGGCTGTCCCCGTAGCCTAGCCCCACTGCCCTCGGACCCCTTCCCCTGCACTGGGATGGCGGAGGCCGGCCTGAGGGGCTGGCTGCTGTGGGCACTGGTCCTGCACTTGGTGAGTGTGGGTGCTGGTGGCCCCTCCACCACCGCCTGCCTGGGGGGTTGCTGTGCCAGGGGCTGCATGGCCGGCGAGGAGGGCCTGGAGTCTGAGGCGCTGGTCTGTGGACGGAGGAGGGATCCCAGGTGGTCCCAGCAGGGGTGCGGGGTGGGGGTCCCGGGGACCGGGGATGACGGAGTGCCTCCCATCGCTGGTGCGCCGTGGACGTCCTGGCCTGAGGCGGGAGCGCAGGGGTGAGGGAGGGTCCTGTCCTGGGATGCTGTGGGGTGGGCTCAGGGGGATCACCTGACGAGGATTTAGCATCTGGAGGCCGGGGGAGTTCTGGGGCTCTTGCCTCGAGTTTCTCCGTCACTCGCACGTCCGGGAGGACGGGCGAAGGCTTTCGGCCCCAAGCAGGTGAGGGCCGGGGAAGCTCTGCACAGAATCTCCAAGAGGGGCCCTGGGCCTCCGGGTGTGGGCTGCAGCTCCGGCAGACGGCGGGACCTTCGAAGCCATCGTGCCCCAAGGGCTCAGGGCCACTTGGACTCAGCCCCCGACCCGTCAGGGGCCACCGTGTCCCAGCAGGACCACCCCGCAGCCTCCAGGGGTCTCCCAGCCCACCCCGTTCTCCCCACCTGTCTCCTCACCCTCCGCCATGACCTTGCTAAATGCAGGTCTGTCCGGGCACCTCCCTCTCCAGTGACCCCCGCCACTCAGGATGACGGCCCGGCTGTGTCTGCCCACCCATTGGCCCAGACGTGGCGGGAGGCACCCCACCTCTCCCTGGGTCCCCCGGCGGTCCACCCACGCGTGCCCCGGCCACGGGTCCTCCCGCCCGCACTGCCCGCCACCTCCCGAAGCGCTGCCTGGTGCTGGGGCCCGTGATGACGCCGCCCTGCCCCCTAGGCCCAGGGCACGCTGTACACGCCGATCCACCAGCCCGGCTACTGCGCTTTCTACGACGAGTGTGGGAAGAACCCGGAGCTGTCTGGGGGCCTGGCCCCTCTGTCGAACGTGTCCTGCCTGTCCAACACGCCTGCCATCCACATCACAGGCCACCACCTGGCCCTCCTCCAGCGCATCTGCCCCCGCCTCTACTCGGGCCCCAACACCACCTACGCCTGCTGCTCTCCTAGGCAGCTGGTGTCCCTGGAGGTGAGCCTGGCGGTCACCAAGGCCCTCCTCACCCGATGCCCCGCCTGCACCGACAATTTCGTGAACCTACACTGTCACAACACCTGCAGCCCCGACCAGAGCCTCTTCATCAACGTGACCCGCGTGGCGGGGGGCGGGGGCGGCCGGCCCCCGGCCGTGGTGGCCTACGAGGCTTTCTACCAGAGCAGCTTCGCCCAGCGGACCTACGACTCCTGCAGCCAGGTGCGCATCCCCTCGGCCGCCACGCTGGCCGTGGGCACCATGTGCGGCGTCTACGGCTCCGCCCTCTGCAACGCTCAGCGCTGGCTCAATTTCCAGGGGGACACAGGGAACGGCCTGGCCCCCTTGGACATCACCTTCCACCTGCTGGAGCCGGGCCAGGTCCCCGGGAGCGGGATGCAGCCTCTGAACACGGACATCAGGCCCTGCAACGAGTCCCAGGGGAACGGCACGGTGGCCTGCTCCTGCCAGGACTGCGCCGCATCCTGCCCGGTCATCGCCCGGCCCCAGGCCCTGGACGCCACCTTCTACCTGGGCCGGATGGCAGGCGGGCTGGCCCTCGTCATCATCCTCTGCTCTGCACTCGCCCTGCTCACCGCCTTCCTGGTGGGGACCCGCCTGGCCTCGGCCCGCCGCCGCCGGGACAAGATGCCGGCCCCCAAGGCAGGCGTAAGCCTGTCTGACAGACTCAGCCTCTCCACCCACACCGTCCTCAGCCAGTGCTTCCAGGGCTGGGGCACGTGGGTGGCCTCGTGGCCGCTGACCATCCTCCTCCTGTGCATCGCCGTGGTGGTGGCCTTGTCGGGAGGCCTGGCCTTTGTGGAGCTGACCACGGACCCCGTGGAGCTGTGGTCGGCCCCCAGCAGCCAAGCCCGCAGTGAGAAGGCGTTCCACGACCAGCATTTCGACCCCTTCTTCCGGACCAACCAGGTGATCCTGAGGGCCCCCAACCAGCCCGGCTACCACTACGACTCCCTGCTGCTTGGGCCCAAGAACTTCAGCGGGATCCTGGCCTCGGACATCCTGCTGGAGCTCCTGGACCTGCAGGAGACGCTGCAGCACCTGCAGGTGTGGTCGCCTGCGGAGCAGCGCAACATCTCGCTGCAGGACATCTGCTTCGCGCCCCTCAACCCGCGCAACGCCGGTCTCTCCGACTGCTGCGTCAACAGCCTCCTGCAGTATTTCCAGAACAACCGCACGCGCTTCCTGCTCACGGCCAACCAGACGCTCATGGGGCGGACCTCCCAGGTGGACTGGAGGGACCACTTCCTCTACTGTGCCAAGTGAGTGCCCGGCGGCCCGCTCCAGCCGGGGCTGCCGTGGGCGCCAGGGCTCCCGCCTGGCTCCGCGTCTCGGTGGCTCGGTCTCGGGCTGCACCACGCCCTCTCCCCCCAAGCCTCCCCCCCGGGCCCCACTCGCTGGCGCAGATTCGCGCGGGGCCATCTCGGCCTCCCCGGTTCCGACTCCACTCGGACTCGGCAGCGGCACCCTTGCATGTCCTTGCTGTGTGTGTTACAGAGCAGTGTGATGGCCCCACACGTGGTGGGCTTCTGTGCGGGCCCCTGAGGCCAGCAGGGTGCCCCGCGAGGTGCTCTCAGGCCAGGGCAGGGGCTGGGGCTCGCCTCAGGCTCCGCGCGCCTGGGCTGGGGGCCCCCTGTGCAGGAGGTGGCCACGCAGCCTGGTGCTTTCTGGGTTCGGTCCCCAGCGGCCTCCGCTCTGCCGCGGTGTGGGCCAGGATCCTAACGAGGCCTCTGGGCCTTGGGGCTGGGAGTGAGGACTCCCAGGCCACCACGGCCTGGAGGGCAGCAGGTGGGCAGGCAGTGGCCGAGGCTCTCGGAGGCTGCAGCAGGCAGAGGTCCTCGGCGTCTGGAGAGACCCAAGTCCCCACAGAGCTCTAGACAGATAGGACACAGGTTCTATCTACTGACACCTCCCACACGAGAAAGCAAAACTGAGAAATGAGAAAATCTGTATTAGTTCTTTACAAATCACAGTAATGAGCCCATTGCATGCCCACAGAAGTAGCATAGTGTCTTGCTTAATAGAAGACAGCTGGATCCTGGCGTCTGCGTGTGGTCTGTCGGTCGGAGGCAAGCGAGAACACTTGGCCTCGCCCCTGTGCGGCCAGACGAGGGAGGCGTGTTGCGACAGCCTTCGACATACCTGGGGTTAGCTCTGATACCACGCCAGTCAGCGGTGGTTGTCTTCTAGGTGTTAGTTGCCATATGGAGTCTGAAGCCATGTTGCTAAACCGTCTGTACCCCTTATATCCGAGGGCAAATGAGGGGGGAAAGGCAAAAAGCGTCGTAGTGTTACCATGAAAATAAGTTTGGCCTTGCAGACCCTGGGCCCTGACGCCACACTGAGAACCACTGGATTAGAGGAGAGAGACCCAGGGCTCTGCCCCTCGGGGAAGCCCACGGTTTGGGCCACTTCCCAGAGTTTGTGCCTCGGCCCCAGCTGGCCCTCAGAACTAGCAGGTCAGGGAGGAAGCTCTGGTCCCAGGTCTAGTCCTCATGTTGGCTTTATTTTGATTTTGGATGCTCACAACGGCTATTGGGTGGACTGATGATCCCCATTCGAGACAGGAAAATGGGCCCAGGGGTGTAGTGAGCTGCTCCAGGTCACAGGGAAACCAGCACGCCCAGGACAGCTGGTGACCGACGTGGTCACTCGCAAAGAGCACTTTGTCCAGGTGCCCAAGGTGTGCTTGCAGGAAGGCTCAGTAGAGACGTGCCCGAGGTCCCGGGCTGGTCACCTGTCCACAGAAAGAAGGAGCTGAACTCAGGGCCTGGAGGGTTCCAGGCCGGCCAGGGAAGAGGTTGAGCAGCTCGAGGCCCAGGCAGCTGTCTTGTGCTGACTCCAGGGGCGAAGTCCTGGCGTCCCCCAGGGGGCCGTGTATGTGATGCCCACCCACCTCGTCCGGGCTGCGGCCCTGAGCCCGGAGCCTCGGGCAGGTGTGCGGGGAGAGGGTCCACTGTGGGTTGGGCCGCACGAAATCCTGTTGAGAGAAATGGTTCTGACCCTGGGGTCAGGTGCTGGTGCTAACAGCCTGGGGCTGGATGCCAGGCCTGGCAATGGGCACAGGGACAGGAAAGGTCCTTCCTTCTGTCCCCAGTGCCCCGCTCACCTTCAAGGACGGCACGGCCCTAGCCCTGAGCTGCATGGCTGACTACGGGGGCCCGGTCTTCCCCTTCCTTGCCGTGGGGGGCTACAGAGGTAAGCCGGTGGCCCCAGGGGAGGCCAGCAAGGGGGCAATATGGGGCAGGGGCAGTGGCGGGAGGGAATAGTGATGGGCTCTTGCTGCTTGGGGGTGGCCAGGTTTGGCGGGGGCTGGCGGGGGCCGCAGACCTGCCATCTCCTTCAGCTTCTCCCAGCCTGCTCAGGTCCTCTGGTCTGTGTCTGGGTTCACAGGCCCTGCCATTGGCTGAGAAAGGGAAGTCGGGTGGAGGGGTTAGACAATGACTTGGATACGGAAGGTTGGCGAGGGGAGCAGGGGTGAGGCTGGAGTGGGGGAGGGGAGCAGTGGTGAGGCTGGAGTGAGGGGGAGGCAGGGATGGAGCTAGAGTGGGGGAGGGGAGCAGGGATGGGGCTGGAGTTGGGGGGAAGGCAGGGATGAGGCTGGAG